TGGTCCTTCTCTAATTTATGGTTTGCTTCTTGATGGTTTTCCAAAAAATGAAGAGACTTACATTTTATTCTAAGCCGCCCGCGAAGAAACGAAGGATTTATCTGTGCGCTAGATGGCGCTGCGGTTGGGACTTTAAAAATACTGCATTTACGTTTCGATTTGTTTCATATTTATAAAGTATTCCAACTAGTTTAGCAGATATAATTGAACTGCCAATCTATACCGTAGATGGTGTGGAGAAAATGAAACCCTTAACGAAAGTTTAAACTGGAAAAGTAATCTATATGAAGGAGAAATAGTAGAGGTTAAGATGTTGTGCAGATAAAACTAGAAAAGAGCTTATTGTAAAAGAAATACTAAGGAAGGTTGTCAATTGTTTTACCTTAACAGCCAAAGGATTTTTAGGCCTTGCAGTCATTGAAAAATATTAAGTTTATTTAAAAATAAAAATCGAAAATCAATTTAAATACTACACAGCGCCAATATCTACATATGAGAGTTAAATTTAATCAAATTTAAAGATGTCCAATTAAAATGTTTAGGCATATCTATCAGTAGGCTATTTTTAACGTATCTGGCAGCTATTTAAATTTAATTTAAACGAATTTAGTTTTCCTAATAGTTTTATCTTTTTTTCCTTTTTAACGTAAAATTATTACAATTTCTGAGTCAATAACTTAAATTTTTTGATAAACGTGCTCATATTTGTTACCGAGCTGTCAAAGAAATACTGAACAACAATCCAACAACACCTCAAGCTTTAGGTTTGGATGATTGCTCATGTGTAACGCTCAAAAAATTTTCTAAGAATCTAACTTGATGACAAGGCAGAGCAAGTAAATTTGGCGGGTAACTTCAGTTTCCATTGAGTAAAATATTATTTTAGCCATCTATCGTGGCACGTCCAGAAGAAAGGTGTTTATTCTTGTATCTCCAATCGGACTGAGAAAAAATGCTTGAGGTGTAGTCTATTCCTCTGCCTTCTAATAGCAACAACTGTGGAGTGACTTTTTGGGTAAAATCAGCTGAGCGAAAGATCGGTGGTAATGGAATACAAATGGGATACCCCCTTTAGGGAGGCAATTGTTTAATTGTTGTTTGTCTGCAACAAGGAATAAAGCAAAATTTATTAGAGGAATCGTCAAAAGAGATATAGCGTTGAGTCTGTTGAAATTATTTATCCATTTTTTTCTACAAATAAATGTTCAAGACAAGACATTTAGCCATTATAACAATTGCTTAAACCACTTTTAGGCAACTAAAAATATTCGGTTCTAGGTGAAAATCATCGTAAAACTTCAGAATGGCAGTCCACTCTCTGCATACTTCCTCACTTTCTGCGAGTTTTCCTCATTTTTAGCAAAATGTCTATTGGAATGTAGGCGATCCAATTGTGTGCAAATGCATAGTAGTATGTACATACATGACGGCTCTTAAACTTGTTTAATGTCCATTTAAATTCATATTTTTTTACTGGTTAAGTTGGATTGGCTTGAAATTACTGACCCAAGTGAATCCCATATAGATGCTCTTTGAGTAAAAATTGATGTGAATTTGTTTGTAAAATTAAAAATCTTTATTTATTGTTCTATATCGATTTCCTTCAAAATTGTCTGCTGTCGATGCAATGCACTTATGCCAACGCTTTTTCCAATTATCGAAGCATGTCAAATACTCACGTTCTGGTATGACCTTCAGAGAGCGCGCCGATTCACATTTAATCTACTCAATCGACTCAAAACGGCTTCCTCGAAGTGGTCTCTTGAGTTTTTAGAAGAGCCAGCAGTCACATTTGCTAAGTCCGGTGAATAAAGTGATTGGGGAACGATAATTGTGGAATTTTTAGCGAAATGGTCACGAAGAATGAGTGCTGACTGCATTCACGAAGGCACTTTTAGTCGTTTAGTAAACACAAGCGCTACCAAAATACCAATTATGACATTGACATGAAATTGGCGTAGATGTCAATAACAGTGCGATCAAAATTAAAAAAAAAATTAACCCGAAATGTTAAACGCGCGAACCTCAAGTTAGAAAATCACCTTACTTTTTGCTCACGAAGTACATAATACGCTATACCACTATGCATTTCCGACTATCCGCTCCGGGTCATTAAACATAAAACATTCTAGCATTTTCAGAATTAGTTTACAAGCGTGCTGTGCACTGTGAGAACGCAGATCTTTCCGTCTACTCCTGCTTAGCCACGGCAGTGCGGTTCTCGAGAGAAAATGCCAACTAAAAAAATATCCAGTTTGAGCACACACGTTGAAGCAGAGTATTAATGTGCGATAGAAACGAGTGTTACTACTTTTCCGAGGTCCAGTTTGTGTCAGAAGGATTTTGCTTATGTGTAACTGCGATTCCTGTGCAAAAATGTATATTGAAAAAAGCTCGTCAGTCGAAAAAGGAGTCCAAATTTTCAACTCCAAGGGTGCTAAGAAAGCTTTTAAGCTCTGAGTAGATCCGCTGCGAGGCCGTATCTTATTGTATGACTTTTATACTGACATCACAGATAGTAATACTTTACCACAATTATATTTTACCGCATGTCTGATCCCATAGTAAAAAGCCAATGAGTAAATGTTGACGTGTTTTACAGAATCCTCGCTCCTAAACAGAATTCACCTCTTCCTTAATAGCTTCGCCTTAATCCTGAAGAAGTAAATCGCACCTTTTCTTTAAAAACTTTGCACATTCTATAACCCAAGCAGCTGGAGATTAGGCTGAGTAATCAAAAGGAGATGACCCCCAGTCTCGAGTTGATATACGCAGTGTTGATCTAACCTGCAATATGCACAATCACCTAACTAAGCATAGCGTAAAGATGAAGGAACTCAAAATACACCACATATGCTGGTGAGAGTAGCAGGTTGAGCAATAAGCTGATGCTCAGTCAATGTAATTTGGACTCAACATACAAACATTAAGCTGTAGATGTTTCTTCCTTTACTGCCCCTATGTTTGCGAGTTTACTGTTCAGTTTTCTTCACTCAGCTACTTTTATATTTTTGGTTAGCCTAGCCGTTCACATGTCGTGGTTTTCTTGTTTCTATTGATTTGGTTAAAAGTCCTTTGTTCTTCTGCTTCGTAGACTAAGGTATTCAGTTGTCGAAATTGAGAGATTTATGTCTCTCTTTCGCCGCTCCAACGACGCTGATAATCAAGCGGCAATGGTATTTTAGAAAAAGTCAATATCCTTAAGCGAGTTCGAAGAATAGTGTTTCAGTGTTATCTGTGCCTACATAATTGGCTGCTCTGGATTCTATTAATCAAAGAAAATGGTGGACACGGTCGAGTGCGATGCTTAGAAGAGTTGCAACAGATCCCCACATAGGGCTTCTTCAAACAAAGGCAAATAGCTGCATGTCTCTAACTATTGTACCATCACTCGAGAAGTGGGTTTGCTAATTTATGAAAAAACCGTTACTTGGAAAAAAAAAAAAAAAAAATAGTTAAATTCAGAGAAAATGTTATAATAGCTAAATTTTGAAAAAAGTTAATATAAAAGAGCATGAGTCATTTTGGTCGAATATAATATTTACGGATGAGAGTAAATTTAACCTTTTAACACTAAGCATTTGTAGTTATAAACTGACTAAACGTTATAAAAACCCCTCCGCAAAGCACAGACTTAAACCCAATAGAACATCTCTGAGGTCATTTCGCATCCAAACTAAACAAACGCAGCTTTTCCAACAAGCAACAGATGCAGTAGATTTTAATGGAAGATTGGAACAGTTTAGATCCAAATTATGCAGCGAAATAAGTCCAATCAATGCCAAAGCGTTTCTGAGAGATAATAAGACTTGATGGACGCATAACGAAATATTCTACTTTCGTTAATTTTTAAAACTGAAGTATTTTGCACAAATGACGAACGACACTTTTTTTACTTTGCTTTTCGATGTTTCGCATTAGAATTGCGTTTTGGTTATTGCATTTATAATTTTTCGCTTTGAAAACAATGGAACCAAAAATAGAGATGCCACAAGATGAAGACTGCAGTATTTGCTTAAAATTTTTTTTTTTATTTGATGTGAAATACTTTTTTGATCGCTGTAATAATGAGAAAGAAAATTTATTGATTTTCAAAATTTTACTACAAAATTAAATTTATTACCCTTTTGTTGCCCGGTTCTCTCTACCCCAAAGTGCCCAAATGTAAATATATCCATATTTTTGAATGTATTTTTCATTTTTGTGGTACAAATCTATATATTTTCGAATATTTTAGCCATTTATGCCATATTTATGTACCAACAAACCAATAAAAGTGCAGGGTAATAAAGCGAGAAAACCCATTAAATGGCAACCTCATGAAACAAATCGTCTTAAATATGTTTCTGCCTAATTTCCTAAGCAAATACAATTTATACAAACACATGTGCTGGATTTTTCCACATCCATGCATACGTATTTATATTCCTGATTCTTACACTTCTGCACAATTGCACACATACATATGAGTTTCCGCTTTAACTGGTAATACCAAGGTGTAACGGTCGAATGGGCTCGAAAGCCACGTATGAATATAAAAGCAATTTTCTGCTTGAAAAAGCGTGCGAGAATAAATACATTGTCGAGAATTGGCAACATCTGAGAATTGGCGAATTAAATGAATAAAGAATTTGCCGTATATTCTCGCCCAATAATATACCAATGTATATATACTATAGTGTATATAATAAATATATAAAACCAAACTAGCAGACAAAGCAGAAAAATGAAGAGAAATAAGAAAATTTCATGAATATAAAACCAATAAAATAGGCAAAATAAATCAAATAATTATTATGGTATTTATCTAGGAAGTCTATATATTTATATATGTTAGTATGTGCATTCGTTTGCGAGCAGCTTTGTTTCAACTTTGATGCGTATCAAAATATTTTTTATTTAAATTAAGTAGATTTATGGTATATTTTAGCAGTAAAACTTTTATAGTGATTGACTTATAGCTCAATTTTGTTTTTCTTCTCTGCTCTTTCTCTTTACAGTTGACCGCATTCAGCGCGATGTGACCCTGATCATATGGAAAGCATGAAATGCATGGCAACAGAGGCATGAAAAGTTAAAAAAAAGAAATGGAAGAAATACCAAAACGCCTCAAAATCAAAGGAATTCACTAATAGAATAGAGTCTTCTATGTCGAGAAAAGTCCAGCGCAAAGGCAAAATGCATAAATAAATTAGTAGTAGAAGCGAAAATAAAACAAATAACAGAAATTCTTTCACATTAAATACAAAAAGGGCAGCTAGCATGCGATGACCTCCAGACATTTTTATATCTACGAGCACAATCACCGCGCCAGCACCAACATTTTCCACAGAAACGAAGTAAAAAACAAATGTGTAAAAAGCAATGAAATCAAGCATTTAAAGACCTAATAAGAGTGAATTTGAAAAACGTTATGCAAATGAAAATAATTACGAATAGAAATCATGAAAAATAATTTATGAAAAAAAATAGCAAATAGTTAAAAAGTAATTCTGTTAGAAAAAAGAGATAGCAAACTATTAAATGTTATACGCTTTAGAATACTTTCAAATAATAATTTTTTAGTGAAATCAATTTACAATTAAAGCATTTTCTCATAGAACAAAAAACTGGAAAATTCTATATAAAATTCATCGTTTTAATATTACTATAATCTTAGAGATGCTCAACTAACGAAACGATGCCATTTGGTTTTGTTGATATGAAAAATAAGCTCAACGAAATGATTTTGTTTCGTTTCGGCGTCATGTTATCGATGCGAAAAGAAATTTTTTATGTTGAAATCGCACAAACTCAGTGTTAATGTTAAAATCAAATGGCTGCTGGCTATGACATTAACAGCACACTGCAATGTTAATGCCTAACATAATCTGCTAGCGATTTAACATTAACGACAGCATTTCCATTCGGTTAAAAACAAAACAAAATTTATTTTGATAACTATTTTAACGATAACATTTCTAAATGTTCCAATCGAAATGATTTAAATTTTTTTATTAACATAAAGTTTAGTGATCCCCTGCAGCACCTGTCGTTTGGAAAAAGTATTGAGAGCTGTAGAGAGATGCGAGATGCAGACAAAAAAGGAAGAGATTGTATTGCTAGCTATAAACTAGTTGGCAATAAAAGATAGTAAAGCCTACTAGACAAACCGCTACCCGACTACAAAGAAGTTTTAACAGACTGCGTAGGCGACGGAGGCGAACGAATAACATGCATCAGTCTCTCTGCAAAATATGGTCGAATGAAAACAGAATCGAAAATTGGAAACTAAATTAGCTTTTTTCAAATTGTAAAAAGCCTGTGATCTCACTTTTTCTGTGCAAAAATATAGAAGGATAAGGCTCCTTATTAACATACTATTCAGCTTCTAGCAAAAGCACAGCGACAAGGAATAAAGCCCGTCTTCAACGGACCTTGTCACTGTGGTTTTATACTGGTATTTTGAGCAGCTATTCTCTATGTATCAAATCTTGGAAATTACCCCTACTAAAACGTTTGATGTACACTCATATGCTGACACTGGACCATACCACAAGAGCAGTCATAATGAATAGCACCTCTTTGAGCCCTTCGGTATTTGTCGATATATCATAGAGGGTGACTTTGTATAGGGTGACCTCTTCAATTTGATGCAGGAGTTAATTACAAAATCTGCAGAAATAAGTAGCAAAAGAATAATCTCTTGAATGAGTGCTCACATTCGGATATTGACTTAATAGGCCTAGGTTATGCCGCTAGTTCTGCTCTTTTTGTATTGGGTAAGGGAACTAAAGGCTTTAAAAGGCTTTTCTAAACCTTTGCGTTCTAGTGACGTGAATATTGTAGACTATTTACATAGTTCAGAGTATTGCGTGGTTGTATCGGCTGTCACCTGATTCTAGGTAGAGGAAAGCACTACAGCTTGGAAGTATTGATGCAAGAATTGCTGGTAAATAAACCTGATCTCAACTTACAGCTCTAATTAAAGCCAAACAGCGAAATAAATCATGTGTACATTATGGTGGACAAAGATGGAATTCCTACTTGAATAAAGAAGAATAAGAAAACATTCGAGTAGTTAGATAAAAAGTGGGTAAAACTTAAAAATAGTATTCAATCGATAAAAATTTGGTTAAGTGGCAATATTCGTTAAGCCTTACTGGCTGAGGCACTATAAATACAATTTTCCATTTACTGAAGAAGCAGTCCTACACTTCAGGGACCGTGCTGTGTGGGCAAAACTTGGTTAACAAAAAGTTAAATTTCTATCATGAAAAAGATTTCAATACTTAAATATTAAGTCTAATTATTCCAAATTCTAGATTATGGTTTAGTTTTTCACACATCCAACTCGCAGAGGAAAATAAGGTTGAGAGGTTTAATATAAATAAATCAGCGAAGTACATAGCTTTCAGCACACAGCTTACTGCATGCAGTGTTTACTTTTTAAAGGGGCCTTCTCTGGGGGGACTTCTTAGATTAAAATTATCAACATTTTTTATTTATTCCCGCCTACGTGTATATAAGTTCATTTCGAGCTTCTGGGGCTCCCTAAAAAATATGATTAAAATGCGACTGATGCTTTTTAATTCCTTTTCAGTAAAGTGCGTCGTTTGGACTATGAAAGCCATTTACTATAGAATACTGACTCTTCAGAAATTTATATCCAAAAACTGAGTACACTTGCCCGAGATATGAGCTTGAGAGACAGTATCTCCAGTCAAAAGAGAGCATATATTATTCTTTATAGTTCTGCTTTGGCTAAACTCTGTTTCTAAAATTTTGGGTATAAACTTTATTGATAGACGGTCGTACCTGCTCTGAAGTTTTCTTCAGAATATTACATAATTTTGCATATGAGCTGTATAATAGTTCCAGAACTATGCGTTCATATTAGCCATAACATTAGCTGGAAGTTTATAGATGTGAATTCTAGATGGAGCAAGTGTTTTTCCCAGCGCAATTGCATTTGTGTAAAGAAGCGTTAATCTTAAATTTTTTCTCACTGCTCTGTAGTTACTCTAAATTGTTAATCGTTCCATTTGTGGCGAATATTTCAAGTCGCTCAACTCAAAGCCGACTACTAGCGCTTAGAAGCTATCTTAAATAGTTATAAATTGCCGTTTATTTACTTTCCTTTAACTGCATATTTAGATTTTATTCAGATTTTACCAAGCAAAATTCATTCTTTAATTATTTTTTTCCAAAAGCATTCTGAATACTCTAAGCGCATAAATGATGGGTACCAAAAATCACACTCTAAACGCCCAACTTTGACGCCAACCCCAAATTACAAATTTTCTGTGTTAATTTTGTGTAGTCAATTGGCTTTCATCTCATTCGACTACATTATTCGCACTCTCCTTTGCCTGCCAACTGGCTTTATGTGTTATTTGCGAACAGGTGTGTCCATTCAAAAAAAATCCTCACCTCATTTAATGTGCGATTAAGTAGCATTAAAGTCACCCTAACAACAACACATTTCCTTTACACAACTAACGTCTGTACATGAAATGACTTTGTGGGTATCCACCCTAAAACCAAACAAATAAAAAAGGAAAAAAAAAACAACTAAATAAAGTACAGCACTTGGAGTAAATAGAAGAATTATAAATTAAGTATTCACCGACAAACACTAAGCACAAGCAGAAAAGAATTATACAAGAGTACTACTTTGCTGTGCAGGTTGGCCGTAAGTGGTGTGGGAGGAAATAAGAAAGTAGGTAGAGAGGTAGGGCAAGATTAAAGCGCCCAAAAGTCGACTTCATTAAACGCAAACTGCTGCTATGAAATAAGTAAATAATTTATAAGCTTTACTGCTGCACACATGCGAACACAGGCAAATAGGAAGTAGTAGAGAAAAAAACAACGAAACTAATAAATTCTTTAGAGAAAAAGAAAAAGTTATAAAACAACAAAGAAGCAAAAAAGGAAAAAAAAACACATAACTATAGTGAAAAGCGAAATAAAAATCCAGCACTGCTAGGGACAGTGAGTGAATGCTGCCATGCATAGCTCTTAAATGAACTATTGTAAATGACTGGCTAGCTGGTGTTTTTACGCCTTCATGGCACTATGTACTTCTATTTCAACTTATTTTCCAAATTGCATGGAGCCAACAGCGTTGAGTTTGATTTTTTCCGCATTACTTTTCTTTTGATGTCTGGTTAGTTGCTAAACTTTTGTATGCCACATGTAGTTGCGTCGCCCTTCGCTTGATGTTTATGCAAGCAACTGGCTTGATTGAGCTGTGCTCACACTCACACACACACACACACACACACACATACGCATACACCGAAACACACTTATATGCACAGCACCAGGTCCCAGAACGAATATCTCGTAGTGCGTTGTGTATGTGTAAAAACACACACACACACTCACCAACACATGCAGCCCACTCGCCCAACTTACCATCATGAGCGTCTTACTCGCTGCTGTGGTAGTGGCGCGCCGGGGCGTATGAGCGACATTGATGTGTGTTTATTTGCACATGGACATGTGTCTGCTCACTCGCCAACCCATCCGCAATTCACATTCATGGACAGTCAGTGCTTTTATGTTTTATTTATACTTGACATTGCCCAACTGAAGTTCCGTCACACAAAAGAATTTTCTTATGCGCACGCAAACATATACACACACAAACAGACATTGGCATTTTTCACTTCCTTCAAATTTATATTTTCACATTTGCTTTACCACTTTAACGTTTTTCGCCTTTTGCTCATATTTTCCCTTGCCAAATCATTCAATCAAAGGAGTCAAGTCTTAGTTTGTCCATTTTGCTTTTCCACATTTAGTTTTTTGGATGAGTAAACATATATCCGAGGATAAACGAATGTCGAAGTGGTCCACAAAGTACTAGTTCAATACTAGTTTCAAATAATATCAAGTGGGTAATATTTAAAAAAAAAAAAAGATCTTAACTGCTCCACCTTGAACTAGTGTTGGAGTAGTTAATTTCAGCATAAAAACTCCATTTAAAATTGTCATTTGCTTGCAAAAAGAAAATACTAACTGAACTAGTTTATTAGCATTACAGTATCTAACTAGTTGCTAACTAGTTCATTTGCCTACGTGGAATGCATTCTTTATATACACACACACACTAAGTTATCGCTCCTGCGGCGTATTTTAAAGTATTTGATTTCTGTCAAATTGAAGGGTAGTTATGTTGGTTAATATGAAGGGAATTTATTTTCAGCCAGTATGTGCAATGGCAATGAGTAGTAGCTTAGCTTAGTATGTGAAATAAAAAGTAAAGTATTTATAGAAGATGACACGCAAGAAAATGTAATAAAACACTGCACATGATGAAGGATTACGTTTTTTTTTTTCACTTTTCTTTTGT